AAGCAGGCAGAGTGTTTAGGTCAACTAGGGAGAGATCTTCAGCTGAGCTGTTTTTTCCTGAGCTTTGATAAATACTTTTCTTGGCTTTTGGGTCTACCATCACTACCGTCACCGTTGTAGTCTTACGGCTTTAATGTAATTAAAGAAATGAACACCCCTATTGAACACCTGCATGTTAGGGAAAATGCCAGGAAACATACTGCAAATCCTCATGTATACATATGCAGTTCACATTGTGGGGTGTTTTTCAAACTAGCAGATATAAAATACTCAACCACTTGCCTCCTCTTTACTCTTCCTAAGAATGGCAACAAATGGAGGGGGTGAGGGGAATGTTCCTTGCCTGCTGGATGCAAAATTGTTTTACTTCTGTAACAAACCACTTGTACAGATAGAACCAGAAATGCCAAAGAAAAAAGTCTTATCAAAGTCATGAATATTTCCTCATTTATTTCATCCTTTGAGCTGATAAATTATCCAAAACTAAATGGAAAATTATTTGGAGATTGCAACTTCTAATTTCCTTCTTATCCCTTTCTCTGTTTTCTTCTTTTATCCCTCTTGTCTTTGCTTCGTAGTGAAGCCAAGCTCACAATTTTGCTTGAGTTTTGCTTTGAGATCTGTTAAACTCCCTTGGTTTTGTGTGTTTTTTTCTGCTGGTTTCTGAATTGGTTTCGATTTGTGGTTCAGAGCTATTTTAGGTAGCTGGGGGATTGCAAATGCCTTGCCAGCAGAACAAAGGAAAAGTGGCTTTTGAGTTCTGGCAAAGCAAAATCCTTCTTCACATATCCACTCCGGAGAGTAGGCCCAGTTTTGCACTAGTCCCTTGAAAGGGGGAATTACAAATCTTAGTTTCAGTGTGAAAATGTAAGAGTAATTTTTTTTTCTGAAATGCAGAGTGATTCTGTTCTCCCATTCTCCATATGATCACTGCTACCTCTTAAAGGGAATGAATGTTTTGGAACCCTTTTAGAAAAGAAAAACAATTAAAAGACAAACTTTCAAACTCATGGGCTTGTTTGCTTTACATGTAGCCTGTCTGCAGTCCGCCAGCTCTTGGTTTGTCACCAGTCACCAGTACTGCCCGTTTACGTGCAGCTCCTCTTTCCTGTTCCAGTGATCTTGCAATTGCTATCACAGACCTTGAGCATTTTCCCCATCTACCTGGAAATATTTCCTTTCTGTTCATTTCCCTCCTCAGCTCTGATGGTAACCTCTGATAGCAAGTCCTAGTTGCTTGGCTTGGTTGGTCTGGTTGTTCTTTGTGTGTTCCAGCCTCCCTCATGGTCATGAAGACCCTCTCCTGCCCGTCTCCAAACTGCTGGGGGGAGCACTGACCTCCCCTGTGACCGTACGTTGAAAACAAACCCAGTGCCTCCATTTTAGAATTCTGGGGAATAGGCCAAGGAAATGAAGGATTCTTGCTGGCCAGTCCATCTATCCTTATCAAAAAGCAAGAGGACCCTTTCCGCAAGCAATTCAAATGGAGCTCATCGAGGGGAGCCTTTGAAGACATGGAGCTCCTGAAAGCCGTTGGAAAGGAGGAATGGATGAGTCCTAGTGCAGCAGCTGTGTGGGCTCCCAAGGGCCTCCAGAGATGAGTCTGACAGAGACCTGCGAGGTGGCCTGTGCTGTGATTTTCCTGTCTGCTTCCATGGGTTTAGAGGACGCAGTGGTGGCTGGTGGCTGCTCCGCAATCTCCTTCCTGGCTTCTAGCTCAAGCTGTTGTCTTCCAGAGATGCCCTTGTGCCACAGGTCTCGTGAGAGAAGAGAGGGGGCCCTTTCCCATGCATTGGTGAAACCAAGGCATATGTTTCTCCAAATTCCAGTTCAAATTACAAGTTTCTTGTTGTGTAGGAAAATTCATTGTTTCATCTAGAAATCCCCAAGTAAAAAGAACACGGGGATCTCTCCATTAAGGAGGTGAGCGGTGGAACTCAAATACCCTGGAATGCAAGGCCTGATGAACATAAGGCAAATACCATGGCAATCATCTGTTTGAAACACAGGGAGTATGTATCTTTTTACAAAGCCCTGTTCCACATCATCTCAACTGAAAGGCAGTAGCCGTAGGAGTCTCTGACCAGAGTCATCAGCTGTGCAGAGGGCTGATGAACCCCATGCCGAATACTGTGGCTCAATGCAGAGAGGAATGGCTCAAGTCTTCTGTACCCAGAGGCTCCCAGGTTCCTGCTTCAAAGCTGAGAACAAGTGAGGTTGACCAAACCGCTTTAACCATTTTACATGTGGCTGAAAGGTAACTGAGTGGATTAAAGGAAGGCAGTGGCTTCAGAGCGTAGATTTCATGCGATTGCACAAGTTACGCTTTTGGGATTACTAGCAGCAAAGCTAACACGAGTGGCTGTTGAAGAAGCATTCAGAAACCTTTCAAGCCTCTTGCTGTTGGCTTCGTGAGGACTTCCTTTATCATGAGCCTGAATGGATTTATTGTCCCAGTTATGGAGCGTGAACAAAGTGATGGTGCTCACAAGGCACTTAGTTTTCTCAATTCTACTCAATTCTAATTGTAACTAATGAAAAGAGTACGACATTTTTAGGATGTGGTTCCAGGAAGCATTTTAAATAGAACCGGCCTCCAGCACTGTTCAAAATACAATCTAAATAATGCAAGATTGTTAGCAGAAAATACAGTGCTATTAAATAACACCGAGTAATGGACAGCTATTCAAAGGCGTTATTTGTGGTCGGCCGGGATCATTGGGACTGAGCACATATGACCTGGTTTGCACTCAGCAATACCCGTAGTCATTCAGGAAAGTTAATAAATAGTAATTGCAGAGCACTATCGACTATGCAGAGCAATTTTATCTGAGTTGTGGATTTTTGGTGCTCTATTACTAAGCATTGATGTTTTCCGAATATGTTTTCTTTCTTCCTACAAAAAGAGGGTATGCATTCCAAAAGTGAGTAGAGTTGACTTGTATTCCCTAAAATCACATAAATATTTTTGGAAGGCCCCCTAAAATGACTTTTATAGTCCGAGGTACTTTTGTTTCAGGCGCAAGAATGTGATTTATGCAGTTAGTGAAGATTCAACTTTTTTATAGGCTCTCAACTGAAGCAGTCCATAGCAGAGTGCAAAGAGATTTCTTCCCATTTAAAATGGGGAACAAGGAAAATATCTGTTGATTTTTTTTTTTGTTACATTAATGTACATGTGACACTTGGAACAGGAGGGAGTGGGAAGGAGGCATCTGTGGCAAATGCCGTCTTTCCTGCAGTATCCACTGAGGCAGCATGTGGTGTTCGCGTGGATGGTGGGAAGGCAGAAGAGTTGAGCTAGTGCTAATCTGAAGCTCGGAAGGTGACCTCAGCTCTGCCAGTCCCACTCTCCTTCCATCTCTCTTTGCTTCAGTTTTTCTTTTAAAAATGTGAGTAATAGTAACACTGCAGAAGGCTGTGTCAGGACCTGCATCAGGAACCTGGTGTTTTGAGCAGTTCTGTTGAATTTGTAATGCTGATGATGCTGAAAATTGGAGGTTTCCTCAGAAGCCTCCTTACCTTCCCTTCTGCAAATATGTGCTCATGGCTCATGTTTGACAAGAAGCCATTTGTGCCGTGTTTTGTCAGCATTTGTTTAACATGAAGCTTAGAGTCTTGATGAAGTGTCCCAACAGACCTTTTTATTTTCTTCCTAACTACGCTCCCTTGACAGGGTGACAAGTTGTTGCTGAAATGATGTATCAGAAAGGTTTGTTAGGGAGTATGTCGGATTTTTTTTTTTTTCAATTAGAGTCATTGTCACAAGCCTAATTGGAGGGAGTGAGAGCCCAGTGTCATTAGTGTCTATGTTTGACTGGCAGATCCTTTTCCAGGTGCATGGGGCAATTCTTGCCGGCAGTGGCACAATCTTAGCTCAGCTAAAGCTAATTGCAACAGAGCCGCTGTGGAAGGAGCACAGCAAAGTGGTAATCCTTCTGCAAGAGCTTGCCTCAAAGCGCTTCGATGGGGGAAACCACCCAGCAGGTCGCTTTTGCTCAGGCTTTTTTTTGGCACAGTCAATTAAAATGACAAATGATGCACGATGGGAGGAGGAGTTTTGTTAGGCTGTCACTTGTCACGGCACCTGATGAAGGCCAGGAGCTGACAGTTTGAGTTGCAACAGTCCTGTGCAAAGTGTAAATTCTTTACAATAACACCATGACTAATATAATTTTGAGCATTTATTCTGTTTCTGGTAACTCCGTTAGAGATGTGAGTCTCTGAGGATTACATTAAAATTTCCTCAGATTTTAATTTAAGCCTATTTTCATGATTATGAGACATAGAAGCTGGGTTGGTTATATTTATTCTACTCTGATATTGAAAAATACCATAAGATACCCTAAGAAAATCTGGCTTGGGACAGATACACTGCTCACAATACAGTCTTCTAGATTAACCCTATCAGGATTCTTTGGTGATAGAATGCATAGTGGTTTTAAGAGAGAAAGGATTATATTTTTCAGGTATTTAAGGCCCAAATATGTCAGTGTAACTGCACAGGCTGACTTCCTGCATACTGCGTGCTGTAGGAGTGCGTTTGGCATTGCCTTTGGGGGAGGAATTCTTTCTAAGCCGCCTTCTCAGTCATGAAGCAGAACGTGCTGCAGTGCCATCTCCCGAAGGTGGGCGAGCGGGAGGGAGAGGAGAGGCTCCACCACGTAGAGGAAGCAGGACTGTGAGGAATTGATAGATCCTGACCTACACGTTTGAGGTGGCAATAGGTGTTTGTGCATGTAGGAGCTGGTAAGAGCTGCCACGCTGAGTTAGATCCCTTGCCAGCATCCTTGCTATACAGGGCTCTTCACACTAACACAGGAATGAGTCTTTCCATCTTCTAATACTCGCTCGGTGCTGGAAATGCGCAATGTGACAGGATTTGAATGTGTCCCCAAAGTGTTTGTGAGGATGAGAGTGTAATGAAGAAACGTATGGTGCTGAAAGAAACATGGTAGAAAGGAAGTAAGATAACTGGAAACATCCTTCTGTCCCTGCAGAAACTCAACCTATTGCATGAAGGTGTCCATGTCCTTGACGGTAGCTGAGAATGAGTCTGGGCTTTGCTACAACAGCAAGATCAGATACCTGGAAAAATCAGAAGTCACTAAGAGAAAGACAATCTCCTGTCCTGATATCGAGGATTATAAAACAGCCAGTCAAGAGCCGGACGTGGTGTGGTACAAGGTAACTGTTGATCTGTCATCGCTGTTGTGCCAAAACAGTAAAAAGCTGCCGGTGCTTTCAGTCAGAAGCTTGGAAATGGCTTTTTCTGAGCCTTGAGCAGTTTGTAACTGCTGTGGAGGCTGCTCTCCCAGGATTGGAGAAGAAACCCAAAGAACAGGCAGAATTGTCCAGCATAGTCATTAACCAACAGAAATGCCTGTCAGTGAGGTTGTTCTAACTGATGCAGGGTATGTGATTCCTCAAACCATGTTCACACATCACAGTGCTTCTGCACCAGTTTCCACCTTGGTGAGGTGTCTGCTTACCTCGTACCACGTAGAAACACAGGCAGGCACCTAAAACAGAGCTGAAGCTGCTCAACTCCACCAAGCTCAATAGGGCTTCCCAGTTAGTTTTTTATGAAGTCCACTGGGCAATTTCAGCAAGATCTGCTATTTTTTTGCCAACGTCTGCTGACTAATTACACAGAAGCATTTACTTTTGCTGAGGCTCATTGAGTATTTTTACTGAGGTCTGTTAATTTTTGATGAGGTCTGTTAGGTACTTTTATTACTCAGCAGTAACTGTGCTGGCTGTACCTTCACCAAAGCCTCTGTGGTACCGCATACCACTTTGGGCAGCACTTTGGGCAGAGAGGTAATGGTTACCCTGGCTCCCCAAGGGGCTAGGAGAGCTGTTAAAATGCAGGATGTGAGGCAAGATGTTAGGTACCAAGACCATAGGAAGGTCTCGGCAAACTTTACTAGTTCCCTGGATCTGAACTAGAGTCTGGTGTTTGGAAAGCCTCAGTGTATGAGGAGGTAGGAGGAGACAATGGAGGGGGATAAAAAGATGAGAATCGGAG